AATCTACTTGCGTTCTCATCGTTGGATTTTCGTGAATCAAACAGGTCGTCGTTTTCAAGATCTAACCTGCGGGTCAGGATGCTAAGTCAAACGATCTGGATGGTATTCTAAAAACTAGACATTTTCTCTTTGATGCAACTCCTTTAAAAACAGAAGATCCATGTAAATATAAGAGTCGTTAATCTACTTTTCCAAACAACAGTACTTCAGGAAAACAACATTAATTGCAGAAAAAATAGCATGGATCATTCACACCGTCCCCTCGATCGAGGGGAGATGGAATGACTATTGACAATTCACAATTAATCAAACTGGTGATCAAAGTACCGATGGAGACAGACATCAAGCACTGCAAACGGGTCTGAAATGGACCAAATAGTCTACCTGTACCATTTATCTGCTATCACACTTAGATTTTCGCCCAAAATTCGATAGATTATCGCATGCATTTTTCAATCATTTATTCTGATTTATACTCCTGTTATACTCACCGTAATAAATTGGCTTTGGTCAGTGGCAACACATGCGATTCGGCCAGGTTTGGTTCCTTCTCACAACTCACGCTACTAGATGGCAACACACAGGCCGCCGATCCAGCTCCAATACGGCTGGACAGAAAGTCAGTTGAAGCTCGATTGCACTGAATTGTTCTGCGTTTGCGTGCCATTGTCGAATCTGTTCCTTCAGTGCTCTCAACCCAAGTACGTATAGCTTGCTGATCAAAACCCAATGGGGATTGATGCCCCCGCCGACAGCGCAGACTGATAGGTTTTCTTTGATTCTCTTCCGCAGTCCGAGGGGGAATATTGATCGTGTTTGACCGCGTGCGACTTTTGTTGCACCGATCAAAGGATACCCTGCTCTTTCCCAAATCGTGCGGGACCTTCCGCAGGCTGATAAACATGTGGCTATTGGTAAGAGCTCTTTTACGGCGCTTCTGTCGTATATCCCGTTGCCTCCTGTGCGATAAAAATAGCGAAAATTGGAGGTAAAGATGGTCTCATTTAATATCAAATGAAGATTTTGAGAATGTTCCGTGGATTGATAATTATGATGATGAAGAAAGTTTCCTCAACACGACGTTTCACCAGTTCATGCTATATCCCAAGATAAACATTTTTATACTACCACGAAATGTCACCCTGGTCAATTGAACGTTTCTGTCGGGATCAACTTTGTGTCAAATGCCCGTTTAAGTGTTGCCATGCTCTCGACAACAGTGCGTTACATAAGATTCAAACTAGTGAAATTGCAGAGCATCAAGTTTGAACTAGCCCATCCAATTGTTCAGAGGCACTAGACACTCTTGATGGTCTTTGGTGTGGGTTTCACTCCTCGGTGAATATCGTTGAATGCATTTGATTGCGAGTGAAATATTTGTGTTGTCCGACAAAAATGATTGAGACATTTACTGTGTATCTCAGGAGTAAGGGTTTGAAGTCACAACCAAAATATTCGAGGTTAGCGGTCTGACAGAAACACAAAATTACGCACTGCTGACGAGTCTCAAACAGGACGAAGCAACTGTTCAATACTCTTTGTCGGTCATCACAAATATCTCAATCGCAATTGATGAAATTATCTTCTCATTTGTTTCAGTTGCTTTAGTGGTTTTCAAAATATTCCTTATTATACTAATCCACTTATCGAGGATTTTCGATCGTCTTATGGCGTTAACCTTATGCTTTACAAATTTTGCTTGCCCTGGAGAAATCTTGAATTGCCAGTTGAAACAGCGTGTGACATCAATGTGGTCAAATTGATATCTTCGCACTCTAAGGCTGTTCGCACACAGTAGTCGGGACGCAAAAACTACCCAGTCGAACAGCAGGATACATCAAAGACTGATATACAAACAAGTATGTTCAATACAGTTATTTGATCAATCCACGTCAAGTTTCAGACAAATTTTGCAGTAAAAAGCACTTTTGATAAAATGAAAATCAATAATTAGGACAATGCTGATTCTAGGAACAATTGAAATTTTGTTATTACATTCATTGTAACAAACACGGTTTCGTATTTTATTGCTAAAAGCTCGCAGTGCATTACCTTTTCCGATGATTATTCACACTTAACTAATGAAGCTGAAATGAAATTTTCAAAGAGCATTTACCAAAATATATTCTGAATATGCAACAACGGTATCAGGTCGACCTTATTCACAAAGAAGAAGCACATAAAATCCGGCATTTGAAATACAACAATCATTCAATAAACTAGGGTTCCTAAATCTTCACTCCGATACTGTTTACCGACTACTTCACTTCCAATCAAACGGATTGATTTCCTCACTAGATGTTTTCATTTCAACAACAAAAATGCCTTTCAATCTGGTCCGTTGTTTTTCCATCAATCTGATTTCATGGTCCGCGTCCATAACTGACCACATCTGGCCACCAGGTGTTCGAGGTCAAAATTTTGAGGAAAACGTTTTTCCTTGCACATGAACTGTTTCAAAAGCATTTGGAACTTACGAGTCATAATTTTAGCGAGGTCATTTGTGCACACATATAAATAAGAAAAGAAAACTTGAATTCTCCTGCTTGGTGAGTAAATAGAAGAGAATTGAATGCTCTTTTCCTTTTATACTTTACACAAGACTGATCGCAGAAAAAGTAAAAAGACTTCTGGGACTTTTTTACGATAGGACTGGTTTCCCCATATTCCAATTAGTTCTCTTTAGTTTGCAGTTCGATGCTCCGTGTGCATCGCATTGGTGATATGCGGTCATTCCAATAAAGGAGCCACACTTTGCTTGTGACTTACTGAAAGTCATCTTAATCATTCGCCTTTTTGGTGGGATAAAAACAGGAAATCATCATTTTTGTCATATAGTCCCTCACAGATTTGTCTTTTAGTAAATTCTAAACAGTTGATAGAATGAGTTCATGCAAAATGTACGCTGGAATCTAACGGACCATAAAAATCCCAAATGGGAGAAACGATCAGTCCTAGACTATGTATCGTTTTCAGACCAAGTGGTTTGATGTCAGAGTGGCTGCATTCTGTCGGATATCTGCTGATTCTTTCTTGCACCTTTAATGTCAACCGTCGTACCACATAAGTGAAAGCCGCATCATTATGTATTCAATAAAAAGGAAGTAAAAACGAAAAAGAAATGAAAAAAAGAAAAACAGTGAACCTTTTTCCAGACGGAAACTATTGGTATATAGTTAAAAAAACAATAGAAAGAGTCATAGAAATATAACCGATGGAAGTTAGTATTTCACCATTAATATTGTAAGTTTTATTAACCATTATTGGTTTCCGGGGCCATGGAATCGCATGATTAAATCTACTTATTTCAAAACAATATTTTGTTAACCCGTTAAAATACGGCGATGGGTTTGTTGTAGCCTACCAGATCAGGAGACGAATAAGGGTTGTAGCTAGAATGGTAATATTATGAATATAGCCAATTTTGTGTATTTACAAAACATGTTTAAAAAAAGAAAATATCAACTTTTTGGACCCTCGTTACAGTGCCATCGCTCACAATAAATCCAAGGTATTTCATGAGGAAAACACAAATGGTTTATCTGTTCTAAGCCGTCGTTGTATGAGAACGTTTTCATTGTCAAGTAATTAACGATCCGTGTTCATGATGCTAATCAGCCTTAGTTTTTCTTTAATACCCTTTGGACATCGAGATTTCGAGGCAGATAGGTGAAGAGCTTTTCAGTATAATGCACCTACTCGTATCTAATATTGCATAGAAATTTTCTGTTATATCTTGCCTCATCAGGTTTCTCTGTCGATTTGAACGTGTTTGCAATCTAGTGAACGCACAACTGGTTTAACTGCCATGGTGTTAATTTAGATTGTTCTCAGTTTACAGTTTTGCTACTGCCGTTACTTGGTTTCTGCTAAGTATCCATCACCGGATGGAATATAAAGCTGCAAGTACGCGGGAAACAAAGACCCATTCAGTTCTTATCCAGTATATCGTGTGCTAAAAAGGATTGTATGAATGCCGTAGTTTTACCGTAAATTTTGAAATCACTTGCTAGAAACGCAGTGTCCATGAGGAACTTCAACCTCAGCACACGACATTACGTGCTTAGTTGAGCATAGTTATTCTAACATGGTTGCTATCTTTTCCGACCTAGATTCTGTTGGTATCCTCAGCAGCAGTGACCAAAGTGTTATAGGCCATCAGTACTCATTAAAAGTCACCCAAATATTGACAAAATGTCCCCATTCTTGGTTTCGTTTACCGGTCTTTTCTTCGATCTTATTCCCTAGCCGGAAACCGATTTTAAGACTATCCATTCAAATAATGAAGGTTGCCCGATCAAATAAATGGGCTTCATTTAATCTGTGTAAATGGTATGTTCATAAGACTATAGATTTGCATTGCGAAGACAACAGGTTTGTTACGTCGTTGATTATCTGAAAGTTATCCGAGTCCTGAACCTTAAAGTTTCAGATGACTACTTTATTTTCTTCTTATCTCATCGAAACTTATTGCCTGATAGAGGCAATTTTCATCGATAAAAATAAGATTAGTTTTAAAATAATAACAATAGGTCCCGCATTTTAATCTGAATACAGTTTTCAAAGAAGTTAAAATACAAAGGAAACAAACAGAATGTCTAGTGAGAGCTAGCGTCACTAATCAACAGCCAAGCCACGTGTTCCACGACAAATATTCACATTCGACTCACACCTACTAATGAGTAGTGCTGTAGGGCAGGTGGTATTGATTTTGACCGATTATTCCAAATTTGCGCACAATCCTCAGTTCATCCAGTTATTCAGATAGCATCCAAGTGAAAAAATATTGACATAATAAATTAAAAAGAGACCAGGTTATGAAATAATTCGTTGTTGTACCTTGAAATTACATTATATTACTTTGACCATATCAAGTTTAATCTTATATTTTCTCTCCAATAATATCACGGTACCTCTGCGACTGCTACATTTTTTCATAGATGTGAATCAGGCACAGTGTTCAACCGTTTTATGGATAATGATAAGAGCATTCTATTCTCATATTACTCGCATATATTTATGAGTAGTGGCAATTACTAGATGTGACTGGGTTGCACTGAATATCGACCAGATTTTATCCTCACGTAAAACCCTCAGTTCATTCGGAAAACTATACACTCAGAAAACAGCGGATTCAAGTTTTACTCTTATTAGGGGCGATAAATAAGGCACATTCCAGGTATAAAATAGTCGACACGGTGGATGAGCTGTCCAAATAAATTCATTAAATGAAATTGAATATCTTTCAAAGTTATCTAAAATGCTCCACACGGTACCCCTAATTAGTCTACCAAGTCAGGAATCGATCAAATAAATACAACGAACCACCAAATTTTGCCGCGTGTAGCGTAGTGTTCATGATAGTCACATTCAGTTTAATTCTATGCTTTGTGTGAGGCTCTTCTGTTTTAGTGGAACCAATTAATCCCTGTGATACCATCAGGATAATTACAACAGGAAGTTTGCAAGTTTATTTCAGAATTCGTACACCACTTTACTCCATCTATTTGCAGTATTTCATAGAATAACCAAACGATCTGCTTAAATTAGATCCATTTTTATCAGTGGATGCCAAAGATGCTGGGTAATACAACTTCGACTGTATTCCTGGGGCAACCAAACTGGTTTCGTATGTATGTAGAATACATGAGGAACTTCTGAACGGCCAATGCAAACCACTAGCAGCTACCAGGATTCCACCCAGGATACAATTGCAGCCGCCGGTTGTTTATTTATTGCACATTGTGACACGACTAAGAAGCAATCACGTACCAGATAAATCAGAGTTCTTCATAACTTTGGGTCTGGGAAAACTACATCATTGTTACCATGCGTATATCACGCATACAAAAGTGAAACCGAGGCGCATCACTTTTATACGAACTGAGTATATTCGGGCACGTGTACCAGCAAGGAAGACTTGATCCACTAAAAGTTTTCGATTCGAGTAACCAAGTTGCACGTTGTGTCCGTTCGGAGCTGTGATTGGTCATGAAGCAAGCTGCATAACTCTTTCTGATTGACCTGCCTATTAAGCCGTTATTAAAGTTTGGGTATCAGGAGCGGTAAGCATCTTCATAGAATGACCATAGAGATTTATTAACTTCACAACATAAGATGATGTTTTGTCCTCCTTTCACCACACACACATCGATATAACTAACAACCGATCTGGAAATATCTAGAATATTCCGCGTTAATACTCACTAAAAACGAAGAAACCTCTCTGGTATTTTTTTACTTTTATCACTTTCTGGAGATTATTTGCAGCACCATAATAAACTGCATAATCCTAAATGGGAGGTGAATAGTGTGAAGCTACTGAAATGTTTTACAAAACGGTGTGCCTTCAAATCGTTTTCAAGTGAAACTAATCCAGCAAAACCGTTAACGATTACATTTCGGTTTCTTCCCACTTCAGATGATATTGATGAATCATCACAACTGTGATATACACGCGCCATATTGACTATCCCGTGTGTGTGTGTCAGTTTCGTGAACTTTCTGGCGATTATCGCTAGTGTGGTCGGTGGAAAGACGACAGTCTACGTCAACTCGAGCACTTGGTTTGTAGTGACATTTTCCCTGGCATGCTTTCTGGAACAAATATTTGCGTAGTATACTTTTATAACCTGCTAAAGGAATTTCGTTGTCAATCTAAAATGGTCACTGACAAAACACCACAAACGAGGTCACTTCGATCTCCAGTAATAACATTGGATCCAACAAAATAATGTGTTAAATATTTATTATTCGGAATAAATCCATTTGCACTATCATGAACGCACTATTCAAACAAGAACTGAAAATACACAAACCTATGGAAACTCCAGTTTTTCTTCATGTGTACACAGAAATGTTCATAAACGTTTACTCTTGGCGAACGATCTTACAGAATTTTGTTAACGCAAAAGATTGGTTCGTCGCTGCCATTCAATTCTTGTGAATAAACATCGATTTGAAATAGCCTGTCTGAGAAAGATTGAAAACATTTTCAGCCAAAATGCATTTTTGTAGTTTTCCTCAATTTCGTTTATCCAAACATTTCTTTCCAGATCTGGCTAGTTGTTGAGGTAAATTATCAATTTTTGTGGTCACCTATGCACGTCCGGTATAAGAAGCAAGACAACCGAAATCACACAACACACCCATTGCAAATGGTGCTAATTAATTGGCGCGGATTTCTGCCCCAATTCAAGTTCTCACTTCAGCCAGCTTTCTCCCTCTTGCTCCCAGTGTGTGCATATGTGTGCGTGTGTGGGAACACAGTTAGGGTCAAGTGGAATGCAATCACAGGTTCCGCATACAGTGATGGGATTATCACCTTTATCGTTTCGCACTTTCAATGTCCGGTGAACATTGGCGCTTAAATCGCTTCTGGCGCTCTCTCTCCCAAAACAACAGTAGTAGCGCAACAGATCTGCTATGGAGTGGGCGAGATCGAGATGCACACTCGCTTTTATGGTGGATCGAATATTCATTTACCTGATGCACAAAATTCAGTGCGCAGAAAGTCACTTAGTGGACAAACTTACCAGTAGTAGTGTGCACGTTTGAGCAACCTGATACTGGCTTCTCGTCTCCAAGCTTTCTCGACTTGCTCGCGTCTAGCGAGCTCTGATCTAAACCGATTAGGAGGAAGTCTGCGACGTGTACACGCGTCGTGATCGGCACGCTCATGCCCACGCTTTCTCGGATCCGTTGGTGCCACTGAATCGAGATTAGCCCGGTCCAATTGGCCAGCAGATGCCATCGTGGAGTGCGGCCGGTCAGCGCTTGCACGTCCTGTTAGTGGACTAGAACGAGGAACTAGCGAACGATAGGATAACCTGCACCAGAAAAAAACGCATACACCAGGAACTCTAGAGGGACTAAATCACTTTTTGGTTCAGAGAGTTGCTAAAATTGCCAGTTTGAGATTCGTCTTCGAGTGTAAAGAAAACACTATGAAAACGATTGAAAAAATGTACTTGATTACACAAGAACAGTTAAAAATCCACTTCAGTTTAGTACAAATGCAGCCTCAGCACAAAATGTTATGGCATTATCTACAGGTACTCCATGTTATAGAAATCCATCACCTCAGAACTCAATCGGATCTATTCTTTACAACAGGTTGAGGGATTGTATGATTTATGTGATAACTGTTCATTTCGTTTAGTCCTCATGTAAATTTGTTGACATAATGGTCGACACTTCGTTTTATTTGGCGAGTCTCGCGCCATTGTAGCACAGTAACTCACCACGAGATAGATGGAACAAGTGTACATAAAAACTTTCATCACAAGTCGATACATAAGCGTTGAGAGCAGTACAAGGATTGTGGCTTTTCAGCGCAAACATTTTCCTCAAATGTTGCTTCAGCTTTAATTTCAGCCAAAAGGAGCAAGATTGTTTTCTGAGTGAGACTGGTTTTAAAATTTGATACAGTAGTAACTTTCAGTGTTTCACCATACATTGTTATGGCAAAAGTAGCATGTATGTCTAATGTTTCGGAAACAAAATAATTTAAAACACCGAAGTAGCTTGTTTGTCTTTGCAGTATTATGGGTCGAATGAAGTGCATTAGTCTTACGACTACCTCTCTTATATGCGAAAACCACCCGGTATTTAAGCTAATTATCCACGATCTCTGTCTTTTCCGGGAGTTATTTCAGGAGTAACTCTGAAACGGGCCACAACAGATACAAGAGTCTCTCCGCTGACTTTTCAGGTCAGAAAGAAATGACGGATTCCAAATGTTTGATAGATGAACATTTAGCTGGGAATTCAGAGCAAAACAATCGGGTGCTTGTACTAACCTCAAATTCCATTGACTGCACCATTCACGCAAACGTCTACGCCGAAGTAGATGCGCTGTAAGCCTTGATCGCTGTATTCCACTCATATTTAATCTGGAGGATGCCACCGACTTTGGGCAAATTAGGGGTCGGGGTTCGAAAAACCCGGTCAAATATTGCGGTCCACCCAACCAGGTCAGACGATACAAATGGGATGTGAATAGGGAGGTCACGGGATCGGGTGTCTTGCCCGATCCCGGAGGTATTTGTGAACTGATCACGTCCGAACTGGTCTCCGGAGAATCGCATATGTGTGACATTGAAATCCACGTATAGGCCGAATTCGCACATCTGAGTCGGCAGACGAATTTCGAGTCGACTTCACTTGTTGTTGATTCGTGTGCAGCTGCAATGGGCAATAGATAAAAAATGGGATTGAACGAACCATTAGGCTAGACGAACCACGAACGATATTGGAAAACACCACGATCACTTTATTCTGATCAAACAGTTAACAAGTTCCATAGAATAAAACATTTTCTCATTTATTACCAGATTGAGCTTTATTCTTCTGAGAAATCAGTTTTGTTCAATCTTCTCAGGTCTACCTATCAGTGAGTGACCATTTGATCGCGTATATGAAATGGCACAATTTTTATTCACAAAATCAGTTTTCTGTGGCGATGAATCGTGCCTTTGCCATTTGCAAGCATTCGAATAACTGTCGATCACATCTACCGCAGGTTTCTCAGAAACCATCAACTGGAGCATATTTAACTAATCCACAGGTATTTGAACTTGATCAGTGAAATCTACTGGTTAAGCACGTTTGTTATTCAGACTTTTAACGGCTCGATGGAACCCGTACTCATTTTCGAGGATGCGAGCAACCAAATTCATCCCAGGGGATAAACTTTCTCATCTCTTTCTCAAAAGAACATCATGCACGCACAAGTTGATGGGTCTTTTCGAATTGTATTTTTGACTGTCACAAAACTATGTCACAGAGCTTTCAAGTCATTGCAGGATATCCCAGGTTTGCAAGAACCAGACCTGAACCAACGCAGTTTATTTATAAGAATACTGTCTATTTTGATGTCGATCAACCAGAAAGACTGATTCCTAATGGCCGAAAAGCAAAAGAAACAATTCTGAACCCATTCTTTTAAGATCTCGTGAGAATAAAGTTTTAACGGTACAAAGACACCGTACACAGGAAATGATCGTTCTTTGGTGGGAAGGGCTTTTCAAAATACAACCAAAGAATCGTAAACCTGGAGACTGAAATATGATCGTATTTGTTTGTGTTGATAAACCTGCTGAAGGCTTCCCCATATCGATGAACAGTTGTGTTTAAATTGGTATTATCACTGTAGAGTACGGTGTGATCATGGCTTAAAGTTTTGGAACTCGGGATGCTGATTGGTAAAGTGAAAAATTAAGCCAAGGCTGTAACTATTTCTGGTTGTCAATTTAATACTAATAAGATGTTACTTTGCAGGAAATTTGAGAGAAAATCAATTATTTCCTGGGGCAATGAACTCTCGCAAATGTATAATAAAAAGGTAAAAACGCATTCGGGCGGATAAAACCTATAATCCTAGTAAGGTCAAATATAAACCTTCTAATGTCCATATTTTGAAATCAGAAGAACTAACCAGCTTTGAAAGGCTACATTTTCACAGAGGGTTTAACCTCGAGCAAACTGATCATGAAGCTGAGCAGTTTCATTTTTCGCGGATTCAGTCAATCACTATAAGAGAGTGAGAACAAATTGCGCTGACCAAAACAGTGGGTTCACCACAGAAAAATATATTATTAATTCAATGAAAGTGGACGGGAATATAATACTTTCGGAAAGCTCCTTTTCTTCATGCAAATAGGACCTGGATATCGAATTCAGGCAAGTTTTGGTGACCCAAATTTCATTGGCCCATTGTGGGGGCATATTATTCAGGTTGAACTCTATTCACCATGCAAGTCACAACCAGCTTGTCAAAGCATAAACGTCCTTGAACCAGATCACAACTTGTTTTGGAGTTAAAGATGAATCTAACAAGATGAAAGGCTTGAATAGATCATATAGTGTGTAAATGTAATTGACATGAATCTATGGCGTTTCTAGTTTCAGAGATCGCATTGAAGCAGTAAACACACAGCCGCAAATAATTGTACTTGCAAATTGTACCATTTGGGCAATACCATAGAGTAGTTGTGATAATTCCCAACAGATACACATGCGGTATGACATGGACCCCGAACGCAAGACATGAGGCAACAAAACGACAAACCGAACAGGCGTATTAAGGACCGCCTATAATAGAGCGGAACACCAGCGAAACGATTATCGTCGATGTAAGAGATATAAGCGCAGTCACACGTAAACACGCTTCAACCATTGGATCCCTAGGTTTAGCTGGCACGGATTTAACAATCACCTCAAACGGTGCAGATTTATTTCATGAAGAAGACTGTTTTAAATTCAACTTCTGGATCAGTTATACACATTCGTTTTTAACAGCTACATCTTCGGTTAATAACAATAAACATAGAGTGGAAAGGTGTTAGGCACCGCAACGTAACTCCCGAACGAATTCACTTTCACGATGCTGTGTTACAAAAAGAAAATTCGTGTTCAGATTTTCGTTTTTTTCTTTCAATTACATGCATCCATTAAAATGAAACGGAAAGCTTAGATTCAAATATGTTAATAGTTAATGGTGATGTCATTCATTCAATCACCTCGGTTCACTGGAAACTGTTATCATAGTCGTGTATCAGAACTGGGAACATGTCGAGTCTGTTTATTTTGGTCCAGTTGCAGTTAGGGGCTAATCCCACCAGCAGTTCACCCTTTCTTTTTGCAAGCAATCTGACGATTCCCACCCGGGGAAGGGGACGGAGGGAATGCGGAAAACTGAATTGAAAAAAAAAAAAAAACGGAACGCAACCAACAGACGTTGAAGCTTTATGGGGTGGTTGAGGGGCTACCAGTTGTGGGGAAAACTAAATTATTTACCGGGCTGAAAACTCATCATACCCAGCCTACAATAAGTCATTGAGAGTAATTTTTTAATAATGCATGCATTTGCCCCAATAATTGCATATTTTATTATTCTAATTCCCGTCACCAGCCACCTATTGTGGGTTTGTGAAAACGGGGACCTAGACGAGCCGAGCAGTTTGGTTGTTGCAATAAAACAAACCTACCCGTCACATGTGGTGAAAATCCAGGGTCTACATTGTGCACGATCCAGTCATATCGGAAGAATAAATTTTTCACTTTAATAATTATCATATTGTGTTCCTCCGATTTAGAGAAATGTAACCGTTCGCTGTTTGATTAATAGGTCAGTACGCCATATTCCTTTTAGAAAAGTATGATGAATAAATTTCTTCTAGTCATAGTGTTTTTTTGTCGAACTCCCCAGCACATCGTGGGGCTATAAATTAAATCTCGATACATTCTCACATACCAAATGGAAACTCAATTATATATGGTTAGAATGAAAATAAATGGTTTTTAATCATGATGATGATGATAAAGTGGCATCGAAATAGGACTACTTGAGACACTTTACAACCCAAACCTAAGTCGTCTAGGTAACCATTTCTCAAACAGATGTGAGAAAAATGTTTGCGATCAGATTTTATGAGAATCTCGTTCTGATTCTAAATTGTCATGAAGAAAGTGTGCATGTTATTTCGAAACAGAATAGGTGATAGATAAGAAGAAGCGTTGGGTCAAAAGCTGTCTGTCAGGCAATTTTCGTTAAAGAATGAGAAAACATAATGCCATGGTTGCATGCTAAATCAAAGTTTGTTGGTATTGCTTATAGGCCGGTCCTGTGGCCATGCGAACATTGAAAACCAATACTGGAATTGTCTGACGAGGATCATATATTTTACTACTACCCAATACAACCCTGTTTACGACTCATTTTTGTGAGTGACCTTACTTTCACAGTCAATCATTTCTGATTATTCTGGCAATTTGTTGCTGGCAATAAGGAGTAGTATGTCAAATCTATGCGAGCATGCACATCTTCTGAGCGTAGCAAATCTCAATCATGATCGTGGGTCTTTAACAAATTTTGTATATTCAAATGACCGCTATTATTTAAAAAAATAGCAAACTCTGGCTTTGGTGTGCGGTTTGTCGAGAACAAAAAAATATTTCATTAAAATTATATCGCGTAAAAATGATTTAGGTAGGTTAGGTTTTCCTTGAAACAAAAAACTGAATTTGAAATGAGTGCACTTTGGTATCACTATATCATGTTGATATGGAACTCGCATTTCTTCCCAGTTGTAACAGTATCCCAACTCGGAATTCGAGGAACGAAGAACAATGAACCTAAGCAGTGTTTTTAATTGAATCAGAAAAGCATAGCATGGGTTAACTAAACTTGCCAACCTAATTGTGGTTTGCTAAATTAAGTGTAATTCAGAAAACAATGAATCAAAAACAACTCAGCAGGTTTCCCGTGAATAATTAGAAAACTTAACCACCGGTTTTCATAAAAATAATGGGTTTCTAATTTATCCAAATGTCTAATGTGGTTATTTTAGAGGAATGGAGATGAAAAGTTTTCATTGTTTTTTTTATAAAAAGTCACTCAAATTCGTTTTTCTCATGGATTACAGTTTCTAATTCTGAACTACGGGTAAGCATCGACAAAAGGGATTTTAAACAGTAGTTAGGTAACAAGAGAGTATTGTCCATGGACGATAGATTCGTAGCTGTTCTCGAAATGGTTAACTCATGCCTAGTATTCATCCGCTATTTTCTCGCTTGGTTTGTGCTTTGTCTTAAATGACTGACGATATCACCACCGCACTACAAAACTTTTGTATTTTGTATTTACCTATTATGCGTTTAGTGTTCTGCAAAGTCAGTTTGGACGACGTGTGAAAGATTTTCACTTAGAAAAGTGCTCCAGTTAGAAATAAGTTATAGTTTTATTCTCTCAAATTTACTATGAGATGAGGAAACATTACAGAAATTTCGCCATCGAGAGGCCATTTAAAAAACTGTAGATCTTAGAAAGTAGGGTTAATGCATGCCTCGCGGGGAGTTATGTGGAAGCTAAACCTTTACAAACATCACTTTCAGGAGATCTCAAAAAGGCTTCAAGAAACTCTTTTAATCTATAGATATAATCCTCTCCTCTGTTCTACGCAGTTAAAGCAACTCGGTGTTTGTTAAGACGAAATCTACTATAAATATTTTATACAACGCAAACAGTAATTGCCTCTAGCTAGTTCGCTCGGTCCGTTATAGTTTTACTAATGTACCAAATCTTCCTATATCGAATCA